TGGCACATGGGTAGGAGAAAGAAGAAAAGCTGAAATTAATTTTAGCATCTGAAGCTCTATTCCAAGAAAGAGTTGGCATAGAAAATTTTCCTAGATATTTAAAAGAGACTGTGAGAGTTTGATTGCTCCTGCTTTTCCTAGTGCCGCCTGAAAAATTCTCAAAGAGGCTAAATCACAAACTTTGAGCAACTGTAACTCACAAACAACGAAGTTAGGACAAAATCGTTCTTTTTGTTTTTCGCTAGATGGGATTTTCTACCTCTGAAGCAAATCTTGGTTCTGTAAAGTGAAACACGAGCTCTCACCTGGAGAGAGGTCCCCTGGTTTAGCAGTTCACAGCTTTTGGTGCCACGGGATGCTACAAGAGCATAACTAGATGAAAGAAAGCAACTTTATCTGTTGCTAGAAGAAGAAATAGAGCTCTAGACTACTCAGAAAAAAAGATAATTTTTTTACAAATCAATTAAACTGTGTGGACAGAATGACAGAATGACAACCCAACTGCTTAGTACCCGCCTACGCAAGCGTGGCGAGTCCAATAAAATATGAACAGCTTCAATACTACCGCTCTTTACAGCATTAAACAATGGAGTTCTGTTCCTCTATTAATACAACATAAGTGACTGATAATTTGAAATAAATATTACTTTATCTTTAACATTCACATCATAATTTCCTCTCTTGATCCAAAACTCCAGCATTTCAACTTTACCAGATTTACCAGCATAATGCAGTAGAGTTTTACCATCCTATAATGACATTTGTAAAAATAACTTTAAAAACTGACAGCCCAGTCTGCTTATACATACATTTATGCCACAATCAACACTACTCTATTATTAGCAAGTATAATTATATTTATGTAGCATATTTATTTTTAAAATCAAGTATAGTTACCTTGGACACATCAGTTCTAGCTCCGTTAGTTAATAGAATATCAACAGCTTCAATACTACCACTCTTAACAGCATTAAACAATGGAGTTCTCCTATTCCTCTATAAATACATAAAATGATTAGCTAATTTCGATAAATTTAATTATTGGCTAGTGCTGGGCTGCTCAATTGCCAATACATTGCAAGCAAAAATGCCAAAGTTGCCAAAATTTTTATTTCAGTATTATTGACAAGTGTTGTTAATAACAATAATAAAAGAAGTACAGTAGGGTTGAATCAAGAGTACATAATATTGTGATAATGGTGCTTTGACATTTATGCATTCATGTACATGTACACGCAACTACAATATTCTGTTATTATTATTATTACTATGTATTCATTGTTGTTGTACACATGTTATGTATTGATCATTATTATTATTGTTATTATTATTATTATCATTGTTATTATTATTCTTATTGTTACTTATTGTGGCCATTATTATTTCTATTTATAGGCAGACTGTCAATATGACATCATATGATGTATTGTGATTTTTAGTATATAAGTGCATGCTTTTACTGTATTTGTTGTTCATTCGTTCGTTCGTTCATTTCTTCTTCCTTCTACTTTATTATTTCCATTCTCATTTAAAAGTCCTCTTTGAACCTAGCGAGTTTGCAATTCTCACATTACTGAGATACGCATGCTGTTCTTCATACACTCATTTGTGTTCTACTTCAACTACTGGTTGCTATACCATTCCACTCCCGGTTCCCAACATTACAAATATGCACTCTTGGTTGAATTTACTACTCATAAAAAGGCAACAATAATGTAAATGTGTCACATATACATGGAATCACTTTATGTTTATACCTGCTTCAAAAGTTGCCTACTAGTGGTTTGTAGCTACTAAAATAGGCTTACTGCATTAGAAGCAATATTAGGATTAGCTCCTTTCTCCAGCAAAAATTTGATAATATCAATATTATCCTTTTCAATGGCTCTAGTAAGAGCAGTATCACAATCAGGTGTATACTATTACAAAAAATTAAATAATAAATATGCATGACATTATAGCTACAAACTTCAGTAGCATTAAGATCAGCTCCAGCTTCAAGTAGACCAATAACCTCCCCAGGCTTGGTATGAGATTCTATAGACCTTATCAATTCTCTTCCCTACATAATTATAAATGTAAATACATAGGACTAGATCATACCAGATTGGAGCATTTAATTATAACTTCTTTCCCAATTGTTGCAACCTCATTTTGTTTTAGTGTCTGTAAGAATAAAATACTAAGATTAAGGAAATTTCTTAACAAAATAATTGTAATGCTGGCAGAGTATTCATGTCTATTGCATGTATTAGCATTTGATGGCTATCGGATGCATGTATATACATACATATCCTCAAATATGAAGGGATCTTGACTACCAGAGTTTCATACAAAGGATTCCCTAAAAGAAAAGGGGAAAAATCCCCCATTTCCTAATCTAAATAGCGTTGGCATGTTTAATAAAATTAAGAGTAATTATCAGCTGTTTATAAAAGTACACAAATGAAATCAACTAGTCATGAATCTAATGTGTACAACATAGGTGCCAGGAAAATCACATACTGAAATTAGTTCCCTTTTAGTAGCATATTCCAACTGTGACTCTGAAAAAAATATTTATAAATTTTGAACGCCACAAAATTATATTATGCATCATCTCACCTATCTCTTCTTGTGATGGTAATTCAATTACAGTAACTCCTTCATTCTTTAGCTTTTGTATTATAATTGGATTTGTCCGATCTCTTATGACATCATCAAG